TGGTTTGGGGATTTGGACTTCTTTTGTGATAACCGGGGCTTGCTCTGCATTCAGCAAGTGATCTCTGTTAAAGGAAAGTTCATGTTGGAAATGCCCCCTCCCCACCCCCGCCCCCCTCCACCGAGACCCTTCAATGTGACACTCAACTCCAGTTAAACACAAAGAAAACTTCTAATCAGTATGTATTCTTTAAACCCCTCACCACCGGGTCTTCTACCCTTCTGTCCTGCGGGCATTCTACCTTATGCTACAGGGCACTTCAACCCTTCCTGCCTACGGTACTTCTAACCCCTTCTGCCTACAGGGACCATCTACCCCTTCCTTGCCTATCCGTGGCACTTCTACCACCTTTCCTGCCTGCCGGGCACTTCTACCCCTTCCTGCCTTACAGGGCACTTCTTACCCCCTTCCTGGCCTACAGGGCACTTCTAACCCCTTTCTGCCTTACCGGGCACTGTCACCCCTCTCTTGGCCTTGCGGGCACTGTCACCCCCTTCCTGCCTTACCGGGGCACTGTCACCCCCTTCCTGCTACAGGGCAACTTCTACCCCCTTCCTGCTTACAGGGCACTTTCTACCCCTTCCTGCCTACAGGGCACCTTCTCCCCTTCCTGCCCCAGGGCCCTCTACCCCCCCCTGCCTACCAGGACCCTTCCCCCCCTTCTTGACAAGGCCAGTTTCAGCTTTTCGCGGCTGGTCTCACTTTCAATGACAATGCGACAGTCATGCGACGCTGTGCCCAAACTCCATTTTGATCACACAACTAGAGCTTTCTTTTAGTGTATTTTTTAATCACACTGGGGGGGTTTTTTTTTCACTAAACAAACCTGAAAAAGATGAAATATTTGAAAAAAAATAGGTTTTTTGTTCTTAATTTCTGTTATAAAATTTTGTAATAAGTAAGATTTTCTCCTTCCACTGATGTGCGCTGATAAGGCTGCAGTGATGGGCAGCACTGAATGAAGAGGCACTGTTAGGCAGCACTCCTAGATGGTACTGATAGGCCACACTGATGGGCACTGTAAGGCAGCATTGATATATGGCACATGATAGGTGGGCATGATGAACACTGATAAGTGTCAATGACTGGCACTGATAGCTGGCACTGAAAAGGCAGTTTTGATGGGTGCTGGTATGTGGCGATTGATGGGTGCTGGTATGTGGCCATTGATAAGGGCACTGGTATGTGGAATTGATGTACAGCACTGATGGGCACAGGTATGTGGCACTGATGGGCACTGGTATGTGGCATTGTATGTACACTAATGGGCACTGATATGTGGCACTGAATGGGCACTGGTATGTGGAATTGATGTGTACACTGATGGGCACTGGTATGTGGAATTGATGTACACCTGATGGGCACTGGTATGTGGCATGAAGGCCACTGACAGGTGGTAATTATGGGCACTGGAAAGGCAATAATGGGGCTACACTGATGATCAGTGTAGATGTCCCCTCCTGAGAATGCTGATGCTGGCTCGCTCCTCTCCCCATGTGCTGTTCAATGGGGAGGAGAGGATTGTCTATAACCGGCATTTCCTATATACATGCGATCAGCTGTGATTGGACACATCTGATCACATGATTAGAGCCAACATCATAGGCTCTTTACAGTGATCAGTGATCCTATCTATCCAGGGACACTGCACCACCGCTGATCATCGCGCTCCACGGGGCGCGCATGCGCAGATAGTGGGGAGGATGCCATATGAAGTCTCCAGAACGAGAGTGCCGCCACCCACTGTCCATTTCCCTTATATGGGGTTCGGGAGGCGGGTACGTAAGTCCCGCCTTTTGTTCTCATGTCTCTCCAAATCTCCAAATTCCATTCCTTTTCAGCTGCTGTGATCTGACTTCCTGTTAGATGGTGCTAGGCTCCTTCTTCTGGTCCCCCTGTATGTAGGGAAGTAGCACGCCATCTCTTGTCATCCCCGCAAGAAGGACTCTGGAAGGTGTAATGTGCCAGGCAAAAGCAGAAGCACAGGACCACAGCTAACTCTGCACTGCTTGTACCAAACAAGTGGAAGTGAGGGGAAGAGAAGAGGTTCTGGAGCTCATGGAGGACATTACAAAGAGGCAGAAGAACACAGTAAGAAAACAAATTCATGAAAATAGATCACAGGAGCAATTTAACACTAAATGTCTTTAAAGCTAAAATGTTTATTGTTTTTTTTTCCTGACCCTGCAATCCGGGTAACAAATGTCTACAGCTCGCTGTGCTCCCCCCGCCGCCTAAATCCTTCCCTGAGTCCTCAATTGAAAACCAGCGTGTACACGGATCATTGGGGGGGTATTTGAAACTGTCCTAGCACTTTTCTGCCTCATGAAATTCGAGATTGGTCGTCAGTATACTTCAGGATTGATCGATCTTCAGATCTATACATAGTTTGTGAACTCTATAACTTTCCTACAAACGAAATAATACATCCTAATTTGGGTTAATTTTCACCAAAGACATGTAGCAGAATAACATCTCGCCTAAATTTATGAAGAACAATTATTTATTTGCAACATTTTTATAAACAGAAACAAAGAAAAAAATGAGTTATTATTTTCAAAATATTGAGCCTTTTTTATTTATTAACCACTTGCCTACCAGGAACTTATACCCCCTTCCTTACCAGGCCAATTTTCAGCTTTTCAGCGCTGCCGCACTTTGATTGACAATTGCGCGGTCATGCAACATTGTACCCATATGAAATTTTGATCATTTTTTTCTCACAAATAGAGCTTTCTTTTGGTGGTATTTAATCACCACTGGGCGCTTTACATTTTGCGCTATAAATTAAAAAAAGTGCAAAAAATTTGAAAAAAAAAAAAAGTTTATTTCTTTTATAAAATTTTTCAAACAGGTATTTTTTCTCCTTCACTGATGTGCGTTGATGAGGCGGCACTGATGGGCACTGATAAGGCGGCACTGATGGGCACTGATAGGCAGCACTAAAGGGCACTGATAGGCAGTACTAATGATAGGTGGCACGGATAGGCGGCACTGATAGACAGCACTAATAGGGGTCACGGATAGGCGGCACTGATATTGCAGCACTGATAGGCGGCACTGATAGGTGACACTGATGATGGGTACTGATAGACGGCACTGACTGGCATCACTTCTGGGCACTGAATGGCGGCACTGACTGGCACAACCCCTGGGCACTGACTGGTGGCACTGACTGGCAGCACTGCTGGGCTGCACTGGTGGGTGGCACTGGTGGGCAGCACTGGTGGGTGGGCACAGGTGGGTGGCACTGGTGGGCCACAGGTGGGTGGCACTGGTGGGCACAGGTGGGTGGCACTGGTGGGCACAGGTGGGTGGCACTGCTGGGCACATGTAGGTGGCACTTCTGGGCACAGGTAGGTGGCACTGCAGAGTGGCAGAGGTGGGGGCACTGCTGGGCACAGGTGGGGGCACTGCTGGGCCACGGGTGAGCGGGGGGGTAGTGGGCGCACTGCTGGGTGGAACTTGCGGGTGTCACTGCTGGGCACCGATCATCAGGGCACTGATCATCAGTGCCTGATGCTCGGTGCCGATCCCCGCTCTGACAACTGCCGGTTCTTGGCAGTACTTTCCTCACGATCTGACAGTGTGAGGAAAGTGCAGCCGAGAACCGGCACTTGCATTTCCCTGTGATCAGCGTGTCATTGGACACCGCTGATCATGTGGTAAAAGGCCGGTGGGATCGGCCTTTCACCACATCACGTGATCAGCTGTGTCCGTAGGACACAGCGATCACGGAGATCGCCGGGTGCGCGCCCCCTGGGGCGCGCAGGAGAGCGCGTTCTGGGAGGAAGTCATATGACGTCCACTCAGAACTGGCCGGCCGCGGTGAAGCCGTCATTCGGGCTTATGCGCGGTCGGCAAGAGGTTAAGCAAAACAATTAAAAACTCAGAGGTGATTAAATACCACCAAAAGAAACTCATATTTGTGTGAAAAAAATGATTAAAAATGTCATAGGGGTACAGTGTTGCATGACCGCGCAATTGTCATTCAAAGCATGACAGTGGTGAAAAGGGCCCTAGTACTGAAGTGGTTAGGTGTATTTTCAAACTTGTTTATTTCCCATAACTTTGGGGCCCCATGATCTGTGGTTGGGCCCCTGCAACCGACTATATACAACATACCAGGTCACTACCCCTGAAGGAGACAAGTATGCACAAATACAACACCTCCTGGGCTCAGGAACCCAGATCAGACGAGGGCCGATGGAACAATATATGGTAGTGATTTAGTAGAGGACTAAAAATGTCCGGTGCTTATCTGTTCCTGTCCTAATTTATGACGCTAGCTTTGGAATGTGCGCACACTGGAAGAGACTCACGCTGACACACAAGTTCAGTCTATGAATACTTCTAGTTTATTATAATGAGAAAGTGAACTTAATATATGCAGAATGATGCGAGAGTCATGTGAGAACAGCATAAGCATTATATTAGTCTTTGATTGGTCATTTCCACACGAAAACAATCTCCGTCATGGTATAGGTGTGATCTTCTTCCAGGTCTTATCTATAGAAAAAAAAAACATTCCTTTTGTCTTCCAAATCACACGGTGGGAGGGGGTCTGTGTGTGTGAGCATTTCTTAAGCAAGGATTTCTTATAGTACCACAAAGCCCAGCAGGCAGAAAAATATTCACACAACATATGTATTAAAGTATAAAAAGTAAATATGTATAAAAACTTATAGAAATAGCGTATATATATATATATATATTCAATAGGAAACGAAATAGACATTTTACCAAATCCATCACAGTAGGATATATGAAAGTTCATCAAAACCGATCGAAGGTTGTGCGGCTCCTAACACGAAGCTGGGGAAGCTCGATACAAACTGTAATGAAAAAACAAAGCGCACCAACCTTGCGCATGACCTCCGTAAGCAATTGGTCATTTTATTGATTTAAGAAATATACTCACAAAAGTAGCGATTATAAAAGGCGCATAAAATCCAAAAATCGAAGCACCCGGATCAGGAGACAACGTGCGAATCCCATTGAGAGGGGGGACTCTCAGGGTAAAAGGGGGGGGGAGCTCTGAGGAAGAAGGGATCCCCTTCACAAATGTGGCAGATTAAACCCTGAGAGTCCCCCCTCTCAATGGGATTCGCACGTGTCTCCTGATCCGGTGCTTCGATTTTGGATTTTATGGCCTTTTATAATCACTACTTTTGTGAGTATATTTCTTAAATCAATAAAATGACCAATTGCTTACTGAGGTCATGCGCAAGGTTGGTGCGCTTTGTTTTTGTTCAGGGCGCATACTTGTCTCCGTAGGAAAGAACAAAAAAACAAAAGCGCACCAACCTTGCGCATGACCTCAGTAAGCAATTGGTCATTTTATTGATTTAAGAAATATACTCACAAAAAGTAGTGATTATAAAAGGCGCATAAAATCCAAAATCGAAGCACCGGATCAGGAAACAGGCAGCAGATTTTTTTGTGTTTTTCCTGAGGTCGTCACGTGGTTTGTGACACAATGCGTCAAGAAACGGATGTTATTTCTGGTCCCAATCGTAGGACTGTATGTGATTTATGCTGTTTTTTTTTATCAGCCTATCAGCTTATCGGGGGTCTGTGGACCTGCGGCTCTTTCTAAGCACATTTGTTGGTGTGCGTTTTTGGTTTTAAATAAATGATTACACTATGGAAGGCATTTTTCTTCTTTTTCTGGGGCAGCACAGTGGCTAAGTGGTTAGCACATCCACCTGGCAGTACTGGGGGGGTTGTTGGTTTGAATCCCAACCACGGCACCACCTGCTTGGAGTTTGCATGTTCTCTCTGTGCCTGTGTGGCTTTCCTCGGGTACTCGGGTTTCCTCCCACTCTCCAAAGACATGCTGGTAGGTGAATTGGCTCCTGTCTAAATTGTTCCCTAGTATGTGTATGTATGAATGTAAGTTAGGGACCTTAGATTGCACGCTCCTCGAGGGCGGGGACTGATGTGGAATGTACAATATATATGTAAAGCGCTGTGTAAATTGATGGCGATATATAAGTACCTGAAATAAATAAAAAGTTGTCTTTTGTGTAACTTAACATACACACCCGCAGCAGTTCACAAGAAACGGGGTGCGATTCTGATGCGGTGAGGAATTTGCACAGAAAAAAGCTGAGAATTCCGCACCGCATCAGCCGTGAACCGGGGCTCAAGGTGGAAATACACGATTAGAAAATCAACCGATCAAGTCATCCGAAGACCGAGAGAGACGTTCGTCAAAATTGTGCTTATGGTCCACATTAACCAATCTAAAAAAAATAGTTTGTCGGGCAATACGTAGTGTTGACGGTCTTCCGTACAAGTGGAAGTGAGGCCCTTGCCCTTACCGGCCAGAACGAGAGTCCAGCGCCCTTCCGGCCAGAACGAGAGTCCAGCGCCCTTCCGGCCAGAACGAGCGTCTCGGCGCCCCCTTCCGACCAGAACGAGCGTCCCGCGCCTTTACCGGCCAGAGAATCCCCCCCCGAGCGTCCCGCGCCCTTCATGATTCGAGCAAGCGTCCCGCGCCCTTCCCCGCCAGAGCGAGCGTCCCGCGCCCTTCCGATTAGAGCGAAGCGTCCGCGCACTTCCCCTGCCAGAGCGAGCATCCCCAAGCCCCTTCCGTCCGGAACGAGCGTCCGCGCCCTTCCGACCGAGAATGAGCGTCTCGCGCCCTTACGACCAGAGCGAGTGTCTTCGCGCCCTTCCGACCCAGGAGCGAGTGTCTCGCGCCCTTTCTGACCAGAGCGAGCGTCCCATGCCATTCGACCAGAACGAGCGTCTACCCGCCCTTCCGACCAGAACGAGCGTCTCCGCCCTTCCGACCAGAACGAGCGTACCCGCGCCCTTACCGACCAGAACGAGTGTCCTGCGCCCCATTCCAGAACAGAACGAGTGGGGTAATTCCAGCAATCCTTCACCGACCAGAAAAGGACGTTATATTCCACAACAGAAAAATCAACCCAATCGGTCATCTGACGACCGAGGAGAAGGTTCGTTCGTTGGTCGAAATCGTGGTCCACGTTAACTAATCTCAACAAATCCGTTAGTTCCGGGGCAATACGTAAGTGTTGACGTCCTCCATACAAGTGGAAGTGATGCGGTGTGCGAGGTGACCTTGTTTGAGCCACGCGCCTTCCGGCCAGAACGAGTCGTCCTGCACCCTTCCGACCAGAAATGAGCGTCCCACGCCTTTCCCAGCCCAGAACGAGTGTCCCCGGCGCCCTTCCAAGCCAGAAACGAGCGTCCCGCGCTCTTCCGGCAAGAACTGAGCTTAAGTGACCCGCGCCCTACCGAACCAGAACTAAGCGTATCACGTGCCCTTCCGACCAGAGCGAGCGTACCAGCGCCCTTACGATTAGATCGACGCGTCCGCGCCCTTCCCGCCAGAGCGAGCGTCGCGCGCCCTTCCGAATTAGAGCGAGCGTTCCCGCGCCATTCCGCGCAGTGCGAGCATCCCAAGCCCTTCCGTCCGGAACGAGCGCCCCAGCCCCTATCCGAACAGAATGAGCGTCTCGCGCCCTTCCGTCCAGAATGAGCGTCTCGCGCCCTTCCGACCAGAATGAGCATCTCGCGCCCTTCCAGACCAGAGCGAAGCGTCTCGGCCGCATTACGACCAGAGCGAGCAGTCTCGCTCCCTTCGACCAGAGCGAGCATCTCGCGCCCTTCGACCAGAGCGAGCGTCCCATGCCACATTCGACCAGAACAAGCGTCTCCCGCCTTTCCAACCATAACGAGCGTCCCGCGCCCTTCTCCGACAAGTAACGGAGCGGTACCTGCGCCCTTCCGGACAGAATACGAGCGATGATACACAACAGAAAATCAACCAATCGGTCATCTGACGATCGAGAGGAGTTCGTTCGTGGGTCGAATTCGTGGTCCACGTAAACCAATCTCAAAAAATCGTTCGTGCCGGGCAATACGTAATTGTTGACGGGTCCTCCATACAGAGTGGAAGTTGATGCGGTGTGCGTGTGACCATGGTAAGCCACACCCTCGGCCAGAACGAGCGTCCTGCACACCCTTCGACCAGAAATGAGCGTCCCGAGCCTTTTCCATCCAGAACGAGCGTTCCGCGCCCTTCCAGCCATAACGAGCGTCCCGCGCCCTTCCGACCAGAAACTAGCGTCTCGCGCCCTTTCCGACCTGAGCGAGCGTCTCGCCGCGCGCCCTTCCGAACCAGAGCGAGCGACCTGCGCCCTTCCGACCAGAGCGAGCGTCCTGTACATTCCGACCAGAATGACGGTCTCGGCCCTTCCGACCATATACGAGCGTTCCCACTTCCCTTCCGACCAGAACGAGCATCACCCGCGCCCTTCCGACCAAGAACGAGCAATCTCGCGCCTCCCGTTACCGCGACCAGACCGAGCGTCTCGCGCCCTTCCGACCAGAGCGAGCGTCTCTCGCCTTCTCCGACCAGAACTAGCGTCTCGCGCCCTTTCCGACCAGAGCGCGCGTCTCGCGCCCTTCGCGACCAGTAGCGAAGCGTCCCGTGCCATTCCCCCCCCCTTGCATTCGACAGAATGAGCGTCTCCGCTCCGCCCGTTGCGACCATCTACGATGCGTCCCACGCCCTTCCCGACCATAACGAGCGTGCCCACGCCCTTCCGACCAGAATGAGCGTCCCGCGCCCTGTCGGCCAGAACGAGCGTCCTACCGAGCCCTTCCGGCCAGTACCGAGCCTGTCCAGCGCCCCTTCCGGCCCAGAAACGAGCGTCTTGCGCCCATCCGGCCCGAGAA